TCCGATAATTACAAAGTGTCAGGGAATTATTCTCTCTGAGGTAATAGAAGGTTATGAGTTTAAGTTAGTTTGTCTGTACCTAGAATTCTACGGACTTACCAACCAGTGTTTCGTTTACTCTACGGTCTCGTGTATTCACAACTCGCTTGGAAACTTATGTGTGTCAGGTTTTATAGTTAGTAAAGACAACAGTTATGAGCGTTACTGAATTCTCGTGTCGTCGTCATCCTCATGAAACAAGGATTTATTATTTACAAGTGTGACAGTGACTGAACATCTCTGTATATACCTTATTTATTACAACCTTAAACTAATTATGATGAACCAGCTGTTTTTATTTGTTTTGTCTATAAAAATACATATAATAACATATGTAATACTTTATTAAACAGATTTGTAACTGTTTCTGAACCGTGTTTTAGACTTCACAGCAGATACCATTACTATGACTTCCCAAACTTCACCAGTATTCAGGCCCGATATTACAAGAATAATATCACCACCAACTTTAAATGAAATATTGCAGTTATTTACCTTAGTGGTGTCCCGGTATGTGATGGTAAACTGAGCGTTGGTATTTATGTGTGTGTGTGTGTGTGTGTGTGTGTGTGTGTGTGTGTGTGTGTGTGTGTGTGTGTGTGTGTGTAGTTATAAGTTGTTTAGCTCTACATGTACAAAGGAAAACATGGATTATTATTGTACAACATCTGGGAATAACTTGTGAATAACTTACTCTCTGTTGTTGTTCATGTTAGCAGACCGTATATGTTGGTGAGAAGTTTGTCTGTGGTTGTCAGATGTACAGTACAGTGTTGGTGTGTTGGTGAGTCTGTTGGTGGCAAGATACACAGAACAGTGAATGTTGTCATCATATATAAATACACACTCACATGTTTCTCTACACCAGTTTGCAACAGTTTAGGATCTCAATGGTGAAATATCATGGTCTTGCCGAGAAGGTTTTAAGACTCAATATTTACCTCTATCAATCCAATATTCTTTGCACAAAATATACAATTTACAATAAAGGTTTTGTAATCAGTTTAAAAATCTTACAGGTTAATAAGAAATGTAAAACAGTATATCAGCCAACAGTCTCTTACCAAAGGTTTACAAGGTTTACTGTAACATAATTTTACCTTGAACATCAGGTGAATAATATTTATTTTCTCAACATCGTCTGGAAACTCTCGGCTGTCAAAAAAAATCGGCTTTTATCCAATGTTGTGAGGGAGTGTTTATGTGAGCTAGCCATCTGTGAGTACACAATGGTCTGGCGGATATATTGTAATCTGGTATTTTCTAAAACTTTCTCCGTTAAGTTTTCAGATTAAAGCTTCTGGGGGAATAAATAAGTGGTTAATGTCCGTCGGTGTCTCCTAGGATAGATGACGAGAGTTGAATAGTGACATTTATATAAGCGGGACCATAGTGCATGATTGTCTTAGGGGAACTATTCATCAATGTCAACAAACTGTAGAAGCAGAAGTCTATGATGTTTACTGTTTATGTAGACTGTAGCAACTATGTATTGGACACTAGTAATTCGAATTAGATTTTTTAATGACTGAGCCGACAGTACTGTAGGTCCTATTTGATTTTGTCTGTGTTAATATTGTATACATTTTTGTTTCCTTTCAGAATCTGTTTGCATCTGTAAGTTGTTATTAATTTACTCTCTTACTCTCTTAGTCCTGTTAGATCTGTCTAAAGCTTCAAGCGAACCACTGTTGCTGACCTACACAAAATAATGTTATTTCCTTTATTTTGAAAAAAGTTAAGAGGAAGAACATTCTTAAGTTGATAGAATAACATAATAATGCACTTATAAACTTATGCCACTGCTTGTGTGCACAGCTCGACTCTACTGCTGCTCTAACAATAAACTTATCAATAAATAATTGACACTGTATGTATGTTTATATAAACAAGTTTAATTAAACAATCAACTGCCTCTCGTCAGTTTGTGTCTTCTTGTCATTCATGTTACGTCGAGGCTCAAGGTTGACCCCTGTACCAGGTGGTCACACTGAGTCACTGCATGTAATAATAAGCTTATTTAAAGACCTACTGTAGTTGCTCGCTTCATGGTTAAGCAGCCAGTCGCTTTTTTGCTCAATCACACTCTCGCTTCGTGTACACAAATACCAAGTTTCAGAAGAGAGATACACCTAATGATGTTGATAATCTACGTTTAATTAGCATGTGTGTATATAGTAAAAATATGTTACCTGTATACAGTACACGAGCTCTATACTGTCACGCACCATAAGATAATATTGTTAACATTACGTGACTGTCCATGTAACCTGACATAACTTATCTCATTAACCTTAACTTAGCATGACGTCATTCCTACCAGTTGTTTGCACCAGGACGCACCAGTGAGGTTTTTCTATAATCTCCCAATTGTTTCTTTTACAATGAATTCAATGAGAAATTTTTGGGGAGATTAAATACCTGACTTTAGCCTAAGCTGTCGGGATCAGAATATTATTTTACTTTGATATAGTCACAGTGAGGGAGGGTGAGACAAGGCCTGAAGTATCAGTACAACATAAAATAGAAAGGAACTTCATCACTTAAACTTATGAGAGAGAGCTTACTGGTGAATCCTTTATGTGAAAGGAAAGATACACTATTGTTTCACTTATGTAGATCCCTTGAATTTAACTGAATTGAATTGAAACAGTTTATTTAGCCAGAAAAAACACAGATACAGAGTGAATAATAATAACAATATTAACATGGCTGAGCAAGTTGAGATCCCGGGCTCTCTTTTAGGCATCTGATGTATACTATACATTTTTCTCAAGGAAGTATTATGTAAACATTATGTTGTACAGTATAGAACATCAATGATCAAGTGTTCCATGAAGCTTTTCTGCTCATTAATACTGTTTACGTTTCACAGAACCAACTTGAGACTCCACCAACTGTCTCTGTAAAGTTATATCTTACTGTACAGTCGCTCTCCTAAATTAGGTCATATATAAAAAAAAATTCCTATATTAAACGTGTTTCTTTATTTTTCAGAACCCGTTTGCCTTTGTGAGTTGAGATATATTTATTTCCTGCATGTTCTCCTTACTTGTGTACATGACTGCCATAGTTGTTGTGCCGTTAACTGCTCTATTTACTTTTTTCAGGAGAACATTTTAGAAACAAGTTTGCTGGGAATATTAAATTATATTTACATAATGAAGCACGTCACCCTGCAGCTTCTGTTGATGGTGCTTCTTAAATTGTTTTGTTTAAAGCTTCTTTCCTGCCTTCAGAATATAAGCTCATTTAAAGTTGCCTCACTTATATCGACACAAACGAAACATTTATAGTTATTAGAGTACATTACAGTACATATTTTATAGAGAATTTGTTTACCAATACAAAAAAATAGTGTAGTTACCTTTTGTTCGACACTTGAGGACAGAGGCGGGTGTAGCTAACCTCTCATACACCTCCAGGATACTTGTGTAGCGCAGTGTTAGTGTCCTGTGTGACCAGAGACATGCATGTAGTAGCCAAGTTAATGAGAGTTAAATGGGTATGTAATGCACACACTGTATACAATCACTCGCACACAGTCAGTCATTCCCTTGATGTGTATAGTCCGTCGCCTGGAATGCACAGTCATCCACTCTATTCATATGCACAGTCAGTCAGTCACTCTTGCTGTATATAGCCTGTCATTCGTCATGCAAGTCCTAGAGAACATGTGCATGAGGTAATAGTGTAGTAGTAGTAATCAGTACATCAGAGAGCCACATAATGACAGGCAATACAGGTGTGTCATCTCCACACATCAGTCTCCCCCGCGCTCCAGGAGGCAACAGGTGACCCAGCTGGCGGCGTCACTCGCAACACAACTGCGAGGGGACGTCTCCGCCACTAAGCGTAAGGTGCATACATAATGACTCTTCAAGTTGTGTGTTAGTGGCGCTGATTAATTAGTGGCGTTCAAAACATGATCCTGATGTCAAGTGTCTTATTGGTGCTAATTAGTGGTCTATTTAAGTGTTTGTGGCTTAGTTAATGTGTTGTCTATCAACTCACTGTTCACTATTGGTACTAATTCCTGGACCTTAAAACATCCGTGTAACGCGTCAAGTGGCGTTGATTAGTGGTGATCAGCTGCTTATTAAAGTGGATATTGTCCAGGGTCATTAATATATGAAAGAGTATTGTCTCATATACTTTAACGTGGGCACAGTTTGTTTTTTATTCTTTTAATGTTATTGATTTAAAGTAGTTATCTGTCGTCGTTGTCTTGATAGAGTTACTGTCCTGTAGAAGACTGTATGTTATTTAAGACACGGTGTTGAATCACGGTGATGTATAAACAGTTGTACACTTGTTATTTCTTGTAATTGTTGTAGTGATGAGTCATTAACAGGTGTTTCATCACCGTAATTACGTTCGACAGGTAATGTCATGTGCGTCTCTACTGTTTGTCATAAACAGGTGTTGCCTTATATACATTGCGTCACACACGGCATTGCGTATGTGTACTCACGCCGTCAACAAAGTTCAGTGTGTTTGTTTTACAGTACAGTACAGTACAGTACAGTCCTGCTTGATGGTTTATGCTAGATACTATGAATCCTCTACTCTGTACACATAATGCTTCAGTGTTGTCTACATTTTCATTAATGTGTTCCTTATCCACGTCTACACTGTAGGAAGTGTCATTATCAGTGTTGTCACCATCAGTGTTGTCACCATCAGTGTTGTCACCATCAGTGTTGTCACCATCAGTGTTGTCATTTTCAGTGATATCATCATCAGCGTTGTCATTATCAGTGTTGTCATTATTAGTGTTGTCATTATCAGCGTTGTCATTATCAGTGTTGTCATTATCAGCGTTGTCATTATCAGCGTTGTCATTATCAGTGTTGTCATCATTATTGTTGTCACCATCACTGTTATCATCATCAGTGTTGCCATCATCAGTGTTGCCACCATCATCACCACAATATACTCAGGTTACTCCATAAACCCAGGTTGTGGACTCGACGAAGGAGACGAGTCAGCGGCTGATAGTGGACGTGGAGGCTACCACCAAAATGGTTCTTACCAAACTATATATTTGTTGTAGTACTGTACCAGGCTCTTAACACAACTGTGACCTAGAACACCCAAGCTACAGTGTAACCTGGAATAGATTATGTGAATGTCTCAAACAGTGGATATATTTGTTTTCCTTATTTTTTGGTTCATCTGTACTTATATTGTATTTTAGAATAGCGAAATGTAACCATGACTAGACTAGCCCAACCTAACTCGGAATATTCTGTCTATGTAACCTGGAGAAAATTAGTGTGGGTGTCTTTATTGTAGATTAGTTAAATGTAGTGAATGAGTTAAGGAGAACGTTAGTCAAAGATAACTAGAAAACTGTTGGATAATAACTTCACTGATTACTTGTTAGAGTATTAGTGATTACCAGTTTCTGATGCACTGTACTGTAACTATGTCTTGACTGTCTTATGTACTGTCTTCAACTGTCTACGGTTACTTCATCTGTCTCTTGCATGTTTTCAGTCTCATCAGATGGTCGGAGTGTTTATTTAGCAGATTTTTTTTTTACAAGAATTAGTATAAGTAAACTTTTGCTTGTATAAAGTAACTCAAGTGTTACTAACTCCAAAAAGTAGCTTTATGATTTTTGTGTGAGGCAATATGACACAACGGACGAAAGATTTTGACAACACTAACGAGACAACAGTAGTCGCAGTGTTCATTTTGAAATTCATCGTCGTCCACCGTGAAGCTACTTTTTGGAGCAAGTTACATAAATGACCCTTGAGAAGTTGTTGTAAGATGCATACAGTGCTTGGTGGTTTCCTTTATTGTTGTTAACGTTATAGTGTAAAGGAGAAAGGTTTAATGTTTTAAAGTTTTCTTATATAGTTATATGTAAAAGTGATCTCAATTTACTCTTTTAGACAACTGAACTGAATGTTAAGTTGGTGTACATATATATTGTACTTAAGAACTGCCTGAAATAAATGAAAAAATTAAAGGAAGAATAGAATATAAAACATAAAAATAGATAACTTAGTGTATTAACAATTCCCAATTTGCCTGTGCTAAGTTTGCTCTGTTATGAGGTAATATTTCTACAACACTTCATCTAGCTTTTCTTTACTTAATTTTTAATAGATGATGTAAATATTATTCCTACATTATACCTGTATATTAATATTCTCTCTTCTTCTCTTTTTCATATTTTTTTCTTGGTGCCGACGTGTGTGTTTGTGGGTTCTGTACATGTCTGATGTGCGTGTGTGTTTATTTGTGGTCGTTCGTGGGCACATGTGTCTTGTGTGAACGTGTGGAAACGACTTTGGGCATGTATATGGGAATGGGGATATGTATGTATTTCTGTGCATGTGTATATTCGTGTGTGTGTGTGTGTGTGTGTGTGTGTGTGTACAGGTAAAGGACAAAACAGTGAGTGTGTCGGGCCACATGAAGGATGCGACGGTGGGAGCCAGCCAGTGGGTGGCCTCACACACCTCCAAGACGGCCAAGGCGGCGATGGAACAGGCCAAGTCCGGCCTCAGTGTTGGCGAGAAGTTCACACTCTTCGCTGTTGAGAAGATCACCACGTAAGTCAACTTCTTTACCTCTAACATGACTCTGCGGTCACTCGGTACCAGATGCCTCGCACGTGAATTAGTATTTTAACCACTCATAGGAGCGATATTGGTTTGTGCTGGATAATAAGACCCTTGTTGACGCGAAGAGTAGAATTCGGTCAAAACCTGTTAAAGAACAATTCACATATAACAACTGCTGGTATATCAGGACACACAGTTTGAATAGTACGATCAATATACAGTAACTGACCCATTAACCTCTTAAATATAACTCGCATGTTACAATTGTTGATACATCAGGAGACAGTTTGTATAATATGATCAATATACAGTACATAAATACACTTATTAAAGTTATTTACAGTTCTTAGAGAATTTAATAGTTTACAATCACACTCACGTTTTGGGGTCTAGGGTTTGACCAACGAGAACGAATATAATATCTTCCTGGTAGATGTTGGCAGGAACGAAAATTCTAGATCTTATCTCTATGATAGAAGGCGAGACTGCCCCTCAGACAGTCATACAGCTGCTACCAGCTCCATCTCGCTTAGTCAGCTATTATGAGTAGTAAACAGTTTCTTTACTCAACATGTGGCTGGCACGTAGCGATAACAAGTAAAGATCATTATTAATCATCTTCCCAGAACACAAACTGCCATTACAGTACAGTACTTACATATAAAAAATAGTCTCGTATTGGTACTTGAATTAATATCATATACTGTTTTTAAATGTGGTCTATAGAGCTGTTAATATCTGCTGTGAAATAACGACAACGATTAGAGTAATAACTTAACTATTCCTTGGCTTTAACAGTGTCCACAACCAGATGTATGACAACTCTTCTTCACTAACTTTTATTTATTTTACTGAAAGCGAAAAACAACATACCAGCATTTTTTTTTTCTTCTGTAATTTTGACATTTTAATACCATATAAAATTGTTAGTGGCTGGACGTGTTTACTTCTGAGTGTACGCCAGCCACTTTGGGGGCTAACGTCTTATGTATCCCCCCCCTGACAGTTTCTCACGTATCCTCCCCCTGACAGTTTCTCATGTCCTCCCCTGACAGATTTTCTCGGAAGGGGTTCGCTCACGTATTCATGTTCCTGGTGCTGGCAGGCTACACGGCACTGGGGGCGCTGCTGTTCATCGCTCTCGAGGCACCACATGAGAACGAGGAGAAGGCTGAGATCGAGAAGGCGAGGGCCAAGCTGATTGAGTCGGTCTGGGAAAGTCTAGTCCAGAACAAGGGTATTAATTTCACTCGATGGGAAGGGGTAAGAAACCATTATGTAAATAGACGTGTAGAGAGAGAGAGATCGTAATAGTAATGACAGTTGGTAGAGAAGAACAATGATTCGACGAAGTAGACTGTTAGGTAATGGTTAGAACAAAGAAAGGTTTTCTCTCAAACACGACATCACACAATAATTTTCTTTTCTTGAACAAATGTTTCTCAAGGTCAGTGTCGAGGCAGAAATATTAGATATTCTCCCAGTGTTGTCTGTACACCGATCTGATGAAATTTTAATCAGACTCCCACTCCTGCCTTCAGAGACTGTATTTCTGACTGACTTATTACCAACGTCAATCTTTAATATTCTTCCTGACGAGAGAGTATTATATCCTATAAATATATGATTTCTTAACTTGAATCTTAATTCTTTATCGTGAGTTAAAAGAAAAATGCCCAGGTTATGTACAGTTGGTCACAGGATATTTATAAGTCATATAAACTAATTAAAACTACTATCTTATTATAATATACAATGTTTACATAATTAGGTATCTGGAAAAGGGCTGTAATGCATATAGTGAACATCTCCCGGTAACCCTCGACTCTCCCCCAGATAGTGACGGGGTTGCTAAAGCCATACGACAACCAGATCAAACACTCCTGGGCGGAAGGCGCCTCCCCAGACACCGACGATCGGATATGGACATTTTGGAGGACCATGTTCTTCTGTTCTACCATAACAACCACCATCGGTAAGTGTTAACCTGCTCTTCATCAGCAACTTTTGATTTTTGTGTTCCATTATTTATCGATCCATGAAAGGTAAATACTGTTATGTTCTCTGATCACCAACACCACCATTGAGTGCAAAGTGGATGTGCTCTAGAATTCTAACATCATTAACACCATCGGTAATGTTCTTCTATTTTAGTTTATCCATCATGAACACCATTCTTAATTGTTCTTGTGTTCTGACATCACCACAAGTGATATTGGTGGAGGTAGCTGTTTTATCACCACCACCGACCCTTCCTTCTCGTATACCAAAGTTGTGTTAATATATTGTGAGTTGTTTTAAGTCCATCTCCTGTTTTCTTGAGTTGCTTTATGTGGGATCTTGAGTTGTCTAATGTTTCTCCATTGGCCAGAACATTCAGGCCATTTGCTCTAGTAAGTTCTACAATAAGCAGTCTGGTGTTACCTACCTCAGGCATGGTCTGATTTGTGATTTATACAGCTTAATACACATGTGGCCTCTGGTAAAGATCATGACGCTTCACTCTTCGCCATCTATCTCTTTCACCATCTTCATATCCTCAAAGTTTCTGCCATAGTCTTTGATTTTCTTTGGCAAAGTTCATAAGTCAAACTCTTAGTCCAAACCCCATCTCGCTTTCCGTCTCTGAGCGTTTTCGGATGCATGAATGTCTTTCATCCTGTGGTGAACTGTATATGTGGGAGGACAGCCAACTGGCACACGTCACAATATATTTCAACCCGAAACATTTCTGAAATACTATTTGCTGATAAAACCCATGAATTCAGTTAAGAAAACAAAATATTTAGTAATCTATCGAAAATAACCTAACCTAACCCACTTTAGTAGTTGTGTGTACTGTGTGCCATGACAGTAAACGACATCTTAAACGAGAGAAAGCAAATGGAAAATAAGCAGGAGATATGATTAGCAACAAAGGTATAATCTTGAAGAAGAAAACCAGAATATATTATAGACTGCCAAACTGAACACACTAACGGGCACAGACACCGGCAGCACACCGCGACGTTCGAATATATTAATATTTAGAAGTGAACATGCACGTTTCTACCACCAGGCACAACAGCAATTTAAATGATTTATAGAGAATATATTTCATTTTCTTTTCTTCTGTAATTTTCTTTGTAGGAATATTTTTTTGGTGATATAAGATTATACTTTTACGTGACGTAGAAATAAGCTGAAGATATTTTTGCAACAGTTGTAATCAACGAAATTTAGTTACTGTAATTTTAGTGATGGAAAGTTTCAGAATCATATTATTTTTCTTATTAATACACTGTTGTCAACGAAATACTCTAATGAATAACAAGACACCAGGCGGAGAAGTTAAATTTGTGGTGCTTTAAATGATCTATAAAGCTAAAGAAAACGGGAACGAACATTGCTCCTGGTGGCGGCTGGAAGAGCTACTCGGTGACTGTTGTCTAGCCTTCTGAGTGGACACCCTTAGAAATTGTTGTCTATTTCATCTTTTTCTCTCATGGCATTAACTAAACGTGATAGTACATAATCTTCAGAGTTTACTGTGAGGCTGGGGCACGTTGTTGATGAGTGACAATGCGGGAAAAGCCTAGTTACGAGATATTCCAGTATGGTAATCAATACTGCGGCACCCATGCGACCACCCTCACCACACCCGTTATCAAGTTACCTTGCAAACTTGACAGCCAAGTTCTTCACATCTCTATTTAGAAATACTAACAGTTACACGTACGATCAATCTAGTAATCTGACAGGCTAGGTTGTGTTAACTCTCAGACTGTGAGCTTAGAGAACAAGTGATGTGTGCTTAAGGAACTAGTGTGTGTGTGGGGTGGGCACTGGGACTGTTCAGGGAACTTTGGATGACCTTTGTAATCTGAAAATGATAATGTCGTAATTTATGGAGGTACCTATAGATGTTAATAGTGATCAGGGATGTGTGTGTATTCATCGCATTATTACAGTTAACAGAAGTCTCCAGAAACTTGTGTTAGTGCTTATCATGTTTGAGGCGTCGCAGAGTTAATGAGGGCATCTGGTCCCATGGTCGTCACTAATGCATCCAGGAACGCGTCCCAGTTATCATTACTTCAGTCAAGTTCAGGACTGCCGCTGTTTGTAGTTTATAGAAATATCTACTGCAGCTATAACTTTTGTTGTCAGTCAGTACGGTACTGTCACGGGTTTAATGTTTGGATGGATATTATATAAAAGTTTTGTATTTCTTAATTTCTTACCGTAGAGTTCGATACTTTCACACTGGTTACTTACAAAAGATTATTGGGTATCTACGTAATAATTCACTCCACCACTCGACATTCCATGTGATTTATACTTGATAAATGATGATTTAATGAGTTCCATTAATTTCCAACATCCATCTAAGTTATTGGTTATACTATAGTCTCGTGTCACCGACAGTCCACAGGACGGTGTCGTGGTACAGGACTCTGTGTAGCGCCCCATTCCCTTCAGGTAGGGGAGGGTGAGGACGTCTTAACTGACCCATGGTCTAGGCCCTCGGGCATACTAACTAAAATGTGGGTTTTGGGGCCTGAGACACGATGAACACAGTACAACACTGCCTTATCGAACTTATCTGTAGTGCAACATGACAATACTAATGTTACTACAATAACTCCAGCCAGCTCCCCTAGTTACACGGTGTTTACAGCCATTCTACAGTTACAATCATATGTTTCTCTGTAGTCTACAGTTTTAGTCAGTTTACAGTTTTATCCAGTCTACATATTAATCAGTCTACAGTTTTAACCAGTATATTGTTTTAACCACATGATCGAGTTAGCCTAAACCAGTGGTTCTCAACCTGGGGGCCGTGGCTCCCAAGGGAGCCACGGCAAGAATTTAGGGGAGCCACGGCGAGCTGTTATAAATTGTACGTTTCCAAATAATGTTGGGAATCTGAATTAAACAAAACTTGTATTACTTATTTTGACTTGGCAGAAGAGAATTTCCATTCTTTTTTTGGTCATTTTGTTCAATAATAACGACAATACAATTTTAATATTTACAAACTCTGGTGCTATTTTTTTTTTTTTTTACGGATTATTTAAGATTTCACAGGTCCAGTCCCTGTCTGTGTGACAGGCGCTGGACCGAGCTGCTGAACTGACTTGTTCAGTACGTGTCCGTGTGTCATCCCTTTGCAAGTGGTGATAGGACCGAATGATCTCAGTCTGACCTGGGATACCATCACGGAAACAGTGGAGTCTATTGTCTCTGAACCATATATTGTGTTTGAGCTTGACTCAAGCATAATATACTCCGTAATTGGTGTTACTTATTTAGTTTCATAATTCATGTGGTCGCTGCTTTACGTGGGTGAAATATTTGTACACTTTCTTTATTAATTATTTCCTTATTTATTTGTGCCATTGTTGTTCATACTCATTCTTTACTTATATAATCCTACCATTTTTAATGCTAAATTGGTATGACTCACTATTCTTCTCATTCTTCCAAGTCGGGCAGTGCTTGTCAAAGGAGGCGTGTTCTTGCTTACAGGAAGTACACCTCAGCTTGCTAGCTTGAGTGTAAATGTTTACCTGTGTGCATGTTTGTGTATGACTGTATGTGTGCTTTATGTGTGAGTGCATGGACGTGTTATGTATGTGAATGTGTGTATTTGCCATTCTAACTCTTTTCCTATTTATCTATCATTCTTTAGTCTTTATCACTTGTCTGTTTGTCTGTTCTGGGGGAAAAATGAAGGAGGCCACGAGGATGTTGAAAATTCCTCAAGGGGGGAATGGAGTGAAAAAGGTTGAGAACCACTGGCCTAAACGAAGAAAATATTTAGGCCATTAGAATACCAGGAAGGTGGATCTGATGGGATGTTAGTATTGGGTAAGGTGGGGAGGGACTTATGACTGAAGGGTAGGGACTGAAATTAAATGATTCAGTAGGGGAAAACATTATATTAAGAGAGAAAAAGTGAGAGTTTGGACATAAAAGAGAGAAAGAAAATGACAAAATTACAAAGAAAAAGTAAAGGTGTCCAACTATTGTCACCAATATCATCATCGTCCTTCACCACCACCACCACCATCATTCATCACCAACACACTCGTACATAACCACCCATGATCAACACCATCATCGTACATCACCAACACCATCATTCATCACTACCACTACCACCAACCACACTACCACCGCCACCAACCACACTGCCACTACCAACCACACTACCACCACCAACCACACTACCACCACCACCACCAACCACACTACCACCACCACCAACCACACTACCACCACCACCAACCACACTACCACCACCACCAATCACCTCCACAAACTCCCACCACCGCCTTTTCACCTGAGGAGGCTGCTTCATTCCCCACACTTCAAAAGGTGGGTTATACCTGAGCTTATTAATTGAATCCCAATAAGTGTGGGGAGGGGCGGGCCATAGTTGTAACGTCTCACCAGTAATATTTCTTTTATCCTTCTTTTCCTTATTATATTTTTTATATCTCTTATTTCCCCTACGCTGAGAACTCACAATAATTTATAGACATACTTTGTGTTTAATATCATATGCATATGGTTTTGTGTGTGTGTACCACAAGACTAACAGTGGTTCAGGAGCTCAACAGTAGTATTATGACAATGACAGTGTTGCTGTGTTGTTGTTTTATTAAGTGACAAGTGTTTCTCTGAACATATCATTACCGTTCGTATCTTTTTCCTCTGAACTATAATTATCATGTCATGAATGACATTGCAGAATGCACTGAATTTTAGTTAAACGATAAGAACGTGAATATCAAACGGAGTCATGCCGCATGACACACCGCAACAAACAGTAAGCCCCCAGCCGCCACAATCTTCAGCCTTCACTGCCTTCACTCGTCTCGTCTCTCGCACCTGGAAAGCTTTTGCTTACGATCACCATGAAACTCTTGAGAGTATTCGTCAGGAGGCTGCCCACTGCGCCGCGTCATTCTTCCTGAGCTGCGTGTTCTGCATGTCTTGCGCTATCTCACTCTCTATCATAGAGACCAGCCACCAAGAAAACCTCACTACAGCGGGTCTCTCTGATCTACTGCATGTAAATGACCAGATCCTCACGAGAGAGAAGGATGTGGTGAAAGATCTCTGGTCTAGGGTCTCCGAGCTACAAGAGGAGGAGTGGAAGGCCCAGGCTCAGGAGACGCTCAAGAGGGTGAGGGAGGAATATGAGGCCCTGCAGGAGTGTGAACCTAAGGTCGCCGAGCAACCCCTAGACTGGGGCCTCATGAACAGCTTCGTTTACATGCTCACTGTTACCACCTCCATCGGTGAGTACATCAGTCACCTCACAATGTTGCCATCATAATCTTCAATGTTTGATTATTGTGTTTATTACATGTTTTAGGTCTTTGTCTTGTTCCTGCTGCCTACGAATACTGTGCTAAACATACCCTTGGCCTTGATAAGTGTTTATATACTTGTATCAGTAAGTTATTTTTGTGTATACAGGGTAGGTTTGTGGAGGTGTGCATGTTCAAACTTCATGTGGGATACACTGGGGAACCAATCTTCTTCAGGTGATAACTAAGATCTTCTTCAGGTGATAACTGAGGTCCCTCGTCGCCTGAAGATTACCCCTCCCAGGTAATGTTTGATTGGTTAAACTAAAGGAGGGTTAAGCTGGCCTTCTTAGCATTACCTGTGGTAGGGATGGAAGTGCTGTCGTTGAGAAAAGAACTTGTTGATGAATATGAAGCAATTAGACAAAAGCAAACAGACAATCTATCCATTGTCTACTATGATGAGATGTATCAAGTAAAAGTCCTTCACAGTTTACGTCTGCATCTCTTGCAGGATATGGCCACATCTTCCCCCGGACCAACGCGGGCCGCGCTCTCACCATCGTCTACGCCATCGTTGGCATCCCCATTTTCCTTATCCTGATGGCTGACTTCGGCAAGCTTTTCACCAGGCTCCTCAAATCCCTCTTCGTTTTCATCAAGAGGCTCTACCGCACCGCCACCTGCAAGAGAGTGAGGAAGACTCGGGCTGTTCAGTCCGTCAAGGTAAGTTAATGGTGTGGCATTCCTTTGTCTGGGTTAAATAATGTCCCTTTGAGGGGCTGGCGCTTATGAAAGAGACGTATTTATGTCTATTTGTTTGGGTTTCTCGTGAGTACCTTGCCATTCCCATTTCTCCCAAGTGAAAGTGGGATCTAAACGGCCTGATGAGTTATGAGGGGCAGACACAGCCCAGTAAACCCTTTCAAGGAGAGACTGGCCGGCGCTGCTCTCAACCACTTTCACCTTCCCAGTTGTAAAGTTAGTCCCCCATCCACAGTCGGGTGTCCGGGGGAAATGAGTTCTGTATCCACTCACCCACCGCACTTCTTCCTCTTTGTAATATGGCTTTAGTGAGTTATGGAGTATGGATGGATTGTGAGCACTTACGAGGCAAAGTGTGGGTCTACAGCAGAAAGTTTCAGAGGCACTGCCGAGTGTTTCTGTGCTCTGGGGGTGGCGAGGGATTTATTGGCATTGTAAACTGGTGCAATAGTTTTTGTGTTACTGTCACTTGTGTCTTGACGTCCTGATCATCTACGTGAAAATGTAAGTAGTTTTGGGTGGCTCATCAGCTATATTTCTGCAATGTAACTAAATAATTGCTTATCTCCATTAACTGCTTCACCATAACCACATAATAACTATATTTTTATAACTGGATGATGAAAAATAGCCAAGAGTAATAATTATCTCATCTTGAGTCTTGTGTAAGATTAACCTCATATTAACCCAAGTTCTTACCTTCAGTTAGCACTCAACATGGCAACTCTCTCCTACCCTTCCTCACATTCTTGTAGGTTTTCCATCTGCTCATTATCTCCTCTATACAAACATGACAAAATATATAAGTGTTCTACGACTCTTAACAACTAATAAACTTTTTTCTAAAATGTGGCTTCATCTCACTTCTTTAACACTGCTCAAGATGGTGTTCTCTCTGTCCTGGGCCAACACCTGCTTCCTAACCTGCTGTTGTTACCAGACCTAACTAACTCTACTAACAAACTAACAATTAACCTTGGTGTGTCCTAGGAACACCAGTCAGTTGTGGTCCCAGCCCCCACCCCTCCTCTAGCTGTGCCTGAATCCACGTCAACAGACTTCGAAAAACAGGAGGAGGTCGAGCAAGGTCAGTTGAGAGAAAGAGAACCTTTCTTGTCGGAGAAACAAAAGAAGGAGGCAATGAAAGAAGAACAAAGAGGTGGCGATGATAATGATGAAGAGGTGGAGGTTCGTCCCTGCTGCTGCTCAGTAAGTTCTCGTACCATGTTTTTGTTGGTCTCAGCCAAGATGTTTATGTGTGTGAGGTGGTGCCCTTGACACACTGACTCCCAGGGCTGTTATACTTCAGATAATTATACTCTTCCTACTATTAACTGATACTATCAAGATTATTATTTTCCGTCATGTAGGAGAGATATATAAATATTAATAAATGCTTTATGGTATGAAATTGACATTTTATGCCAAAAAAAAATCTGTTTACCCAACCTTCCATTACACCTCCATCCGCCTCTACCCTCCCTTATTCCTACTGACACCCCTCTCTACCTCTCCTTGCTCTCACTCCTTCCTTCCTCCGACATCCTATCTGTCTCCGTTTCACCCTTTCTCTCCCTTTCTCCTCTTTGACCTCAACACGCCTTCCTTTCACGCATGTTGTATCTACAGGCGTGGTCGAAGAAGCTCAGTGGGTGGTGCAGTTCCCTATGCTGCAAAAAAGTCGTCCCTGAGGATATTACACCAGAGTCTGACGAGGAAGACATAATCGACGACAACTTCAACCTGCCTGTCTCCCTCGCTCTCTTTATTCTCCTTGTTTACATCATGTGCGGCTGCGTCATCTACACCATGTGCGTATTCCTAGTTTCTATTTGCCATTCCTTACGATAGCCTTTCTCCCTCTCTGTCTTCTCTTGCAAACTTTTATCATTATTTTTATCTTCTTCTGATATCCATTTAGGCCTCCCAACATACATCACTACACATATTCTTCTAGGGCCTTGTATAGATGGTCCCAAACCGCTATGTTTCGTTTCCAAATATTATTAAAAATATATATCACATGAATAAAACTGTACATATGTTGGTAAGCTTTTGTGAGCGAGTCAATATTGTTTATTTATTAACATTATAGGAAATATTCGCAGGAGATAATTCATCATTGTTTAAGAAGTTATTATTAACGTGAGTGATTACAGGTGGGAGCCTTGGAGCTACTTTGAGGCGTTCTACTTCATCTTCGTCTCCATGACAACAATAGGCTTCGGTGACTACGTACCACAGGTAATGTCACCCATAAGGTCGATGCCTGTGTGTTGTATGGTGTTAGTCATCGACCTTATGGACGTTTAATGTATTAGGGTGTCATACCTCAGTATTACAATAAACAACGGAGGGGATAATGATGCAGAAAGTGTCATTAGTTAATCCTAATTATTAAATTTTCAACCGTTAATTATTGGTTATTAGGGCAGAAAAAAAATATAATTCCTTTTATAGACCAATTTGTTTTTCCTGATAAAATATAAGTCTTTGTTCCCATATTATCACAAATTAATAATGTACAGTATATAATGTGAAAGATTAATTGTTTTGTTAAAGAACTAAATGGTAGTTCCTTCAACACGTGATGAACCAACCCCCTTCTCCACAGCATCCAGCCTTCATGATGATGACCACAGTCTACCTGGTGTTCGGGTTGGCCCTCACAGCTATGTGCATCAACATCATACAGGTAAAATGTGTCCTTAATTACTCACCTGTCTATCTTATTCCACCTTCATTTAACTTTCATTTTCACTCCTTCCTTCCGGGTTCGATCACCCTAAAGGAAGTTATAAGACTCGGAGCCGTTTATCCTGTCTCTTGTCAGTCAAATATAAAGTTTTCTCAAAGTTGATTTAGTGGAATATCTTGAAACTAGAAAACGACGTCTTGCAATTTTCGAACAATTCAATATGACGAAATATTAACGCCAAAACGCCTAACATTTATAGATATTAATGAAGTAAACTCATATATGTTTTGTTTTATTTGTTTTTAATGTCATCGATAGCATTGGTCTTAATTTTCTTAGGTTCACAATCAGTATCATGTTTCCCTCTGCCACATACTCTTAAGTTCACTTGTAATATTTCCTTTGCAGTGCATCACCACGTTAGTCAGATTAGACGAACCAAGTCTCCAAACATTAAATAGCTTTACCACCCTCGCATGACAAGGCTCTGGGAATGTTATAGTTTCTTGACATGGAGAGTATAATGAGACATCAAGGTGGTGCTGTACCTTACACAGCGGCTGCTTCTCCTTTAATGGAACACTAATTAGCAACGTCATTATAAATGTGTTATTGTGAAACAGTTTCATGAAGGAGACAACATCTACATAATATACCCCTTTGATTTTCTTTAATATTATACGTTTTCTATAACAGGAAAAGTTAACAGACACCTTCCGCCAAGCCTCTGAAAAACTGAAGGACTCATTTGGGCACATCATGGCGGCTTCGGCCAACCAGGGGGAAGAGGCCGCTCTACAGGAAGGGAAGGAGGTGGAAGTAGCAGAGGTGCACGGTAACAAGAAAACCGAACCTGACATAGTCACAGTCACATACAAGAAAGAGACATAGTTTACTACAAAGGAAGTGAAACAAAAGCATAATTTTAGGTAACGTAGTTTGAGACGTTTTCTTGAGGCCCAAAGAGACTTTTTCTGCTGTAGATTTGATCAAGAGAAACATGACAGACGTTGTTAGTTGTTAAGTTAAAGAAGATATCTAATCTGAGATTTTGATATACTGCAATTATACAGTATATACAGTATGTAGTAATGAAAAAAGTCAGGTCTTCTGGCCCCTGGACACAGATGTGTTCTATGGATTATCAACTTATTCATAGGATAATGCCATGTGTACAGTATCTTAAGTAATCTCTGATACCTGGGGAATATATGAAACATCAACGAGCGAAATTAGAGAGGATAAGAACGCAATCTAATGAAAGCAGTTATCTTAATCAGCAGTCAAGATGACCGCCATATTGGAGTGTAGGCACCAAGAACCGACTACACAGGCTAATGTTACAAGCTGGTAACTGCGATAAAGTAAATAGTCTTCATTTTTGATCAAGTTATGTCAGGTCAGACGAGGGATTCGAGGCAGTTCCTGGGTCGTATCTATGCCCTCAGTGACTGGCTTCATCTCCCAAGACACATATAGTTGAAAAGAATTTTCTGAGACCCTAAACTAAGTCAATTCCAATTTATAATATTTACAAGTAGAGAAGCTGAGGATATGGTAGGTTTGTCCACAACAACAACTGCCTCAGCGTTTAGCCCTAAAATTGGTTGTCACTAAATCTGAAGTGAGATAAACTGATCCTAGTTGTTAATTCTTTACGGAAAATATTGATATTTTGTAGATCGTTATCACTTTTTTTGTCTCTGAGATCTTACAATACCAACCTTTTTATGTCCAATATTTACCACAGAACGAATACAAAAGATAACAGCGAGATGTATATGCAGAGTACTCGTACTGCTAAGGGCGAGACACTCAGCTGGGCATCCACGTGGCGGTTCTAAGACAGATGTAGGCAGAGGTCGAGGTCAACCGGATATATCTAGCTGAGACAGACACAACAAGACACTGCAGGGAAATCAGTGGTTGAGAATGGCCCAGAGAGAATACAGGCATATCATCGGTGTTCATGAAGGCCATAGTGTACTTGGCTGATGTCATGATAAAACTCTCGTTAACATAATGTCCAAATAACTTTAATGTTCCGCTCAAGATTAGTTTAAGCTGCTGCTATTACTTTTATTACAGTTGATTCATTGTAATCTAACTCCTGGTAATATTAATGGTAATAATGTTTGTGTGTGTGTGTGTGTGTGTGTGTGTGTGTGTGTGTGTGACAAATTATAATTGTTATTTATTAGTGAATTTGATAGTATGATAGCAATGAACTGTCCCTTGTACTAAGACTGAAGCGAATCAAGATAGACCATTAGGAAGAACCTTTCATAGATCCAATGCTCGAGGATAAACGACACTTGCCATGACAGACTGGGGTTATGGCAGCTCGTGACAACAGTGACATTAGTTGTTTTTGAATTCGAAAAGTGAACGTCGGGACTTCATATTTTATCATTTCACTCTATATCCAGGCAAGTGAGTCAACATTTTTGTACATCAATTACTCTGTCAAAACCACTAAACTATCGCTGACAATCAAGGTGACAAACATTGTGAGTAACTACTTATGACTATTATCCCATTTCAAAAAATTTCTGCTATGAATTTTTCATCATTCTTATAACGGGAATAATATTCAAGTATATTTCTAAAGGTGGCAGTAAATTTGTTGGGCGTCGTCATGGGTGATTAATGGCATTACATATATGTGCGTCGTGTTGTTTGAACCACAAGAATAAAAAACATTGAAAACATCCCTAAACGTCTCGGTTAGGTGATGTAGACCACATCAGTCACCAAAGGATGAAAGCATCTGTTATCCGACCTCCTCTCCCGCATACTGTTGAGATGAATTATGGCTTTATATAATCAGTTTAGTATATATATGGTATATTGTATAACGCAGCAAATAAAGACGATATTGTAGATTTTGTCGAAGTTACAACTGCAATCCCACAAAATCCGACAAAATTGTGTAGCATGTCACCGGTAGTTCTAAGAGTCCAGCGGCAAGGTTCATTGTTTACAGTTTTCCTTTACTAAGATGGAAGATCGTCAGCTGTTATGCAAACTTCACAAGAAAACAAAGTGGAGTTTCCAATCTTGACCAATATATTTTAATCAATCTGAAAATCATTCTCTAATAATCTTATAAATACTGTACTAGAAATAACGCTGTTTATTTATTTTCATAAAATTTGGAGATATTTTGTCTGTAGTCTGAAAAAGTTGAATAGCCATTTATAAGCTTAAAGTTCAATATATCGTTTCATCCTACAGAGTTGTAAAGAGACTAAACTCATTAGGGAAGTTTCAACATTACAACGGGAAGTGAGTCGTCGCTCCACACCCTCTGAGTGTTCTTGGTCTAAATACCGTGTGGAAGGTTCAGTCTTGCTGCCTAAGCGCCTTCGTTATTCCATCCGTCTGAGAGTTCTACTTTCAGAATCTGTTAGGAGTTCTAGTCTTTACAAATCCGTAAAAAAGGTTCTAGTCTTTATAAATCCGTCAAAAGGTTCTAGTCTTAGCAATCCGTCTAAAAAGTGTAGTCTTACAATTTATCTAAAAGTTATAGTCTTACACTCCGTCTAAACGTTGACTTTAAAACCTGTCCTTTTGACCATCTTTCCGACAACTGTTGCCTCTTTACAGCTTACATTTGATTCGTGTCACAGTGTGTCCTCATCCTCAACTGTATCACAAATCTCATGTCAATCAATTCTGTGATCTTTCGGTAGATGTTTATTCTTCTACTTTGTACCGTTGGAGGTTATGTAACAGAGACCAGACTATTACTGCGTTGTGTAGTAAAATTAGGGGTCCTTAAGTGACGTTCAGAAGTTAAGCAATTTTGATGAGCTGAACTGTATGTGATATTCCTGGGTTTAACATTGTCAAACTGCCATTTAATTAGTTTATAAATGAGTTTTCTTGCAATATTTCCAACAAAAACTGCATCAATTTGTTGTAGCTGATTTATAAAAGAAAACTGTGACGATAGTGGTCGTTCTACGGCTTGTCTTATCAGGTATTACAATGGTATCTCTTGTAGTTACATTTCTGACACCATGTTTTACTTTGTTGGCTGAATATGAGTATTTCCTGAAACTTGTGGCTTTCCTTTGAATCACTCGTTGTGTAAGGAAGGACACACCAACACAAGCAGGTAGGCATGGCGGATGTGATTGAGTCTGGTCTTATAAACTGAAACAGATTAGAATGAACCCAGTATTAATCACTTTATCATATACTTGGACTATGTTAAGTGTAGGATAACCTGTGAATATTTCCTAGATTTATATACTGTACCACATAATGAATTTGTACTTTTGCTAAATGATCACTTGTTGCTACTTAGCGCTTCTTGCTGACTTAGCTTTATCTCCATAGTATAGAGTCTCAAGCTTCGTACTATGACTATTACTTGTAACTAAAGGTATAAATATGCATCTAACAGGTTGGTTAAATTTTAAGTATAAAAATTACGGCCATATAACACTGAGACTCTACCATATAAGGAGACGTTCACGCTCAGTTAACACCAATTAATGGAAAATCTTCCCAGAAATGCTGTACGTGCACTTTTGATGTTTGTTTGTTTTTTTGTTTTTTGTTGGTGTTTTAACTTATCCCAACCAGTTACGTGCATTCTTACATCTTTAGTTGCGACGATTATTAATTGTGTGAATCTTTGAGGGTGTGGAGCTTGTACAGTATGGTAATGAACCAAGCAAAACTATCTGGCCTGTGTATCCACAACACAAACAGCGCACAAAGACAGTAATAATCCAATGGTTTGATTCCTTCATAATCAATAGCTATTTTTAATGTAATTTTTATGATTTTAGAATCTCGTTATACATGTTACTCGTCAGGTCGTGTTTCCACAGCCTGTGTGACTTACAAAGTAGATGTACTGTACTGTACTGTTTAGGTGGTAGTATTTCTTTTTTTTATTTATATAGTAATCGTAATTTAACTGTATATTCAGTATTATACATCTTGTTAACAATTTGCCTTACTCGGTGCTGTATAACTTGAGAGAAGAGTGTAAGGGACATGTGAAGAGAGGTGTCACACCATGATACAGTCGCTCTCCTCAGACAGCTTTACTCATACCCGATCGTTGCACATTACAAGTTACTTATCGCACAAATTTTATCTCAGTTGTTGACATACGAGCAATTGATGTAGATGGAGTTCTTTCTAACCTCATGACTGTAATATACCTATTTTATCGAAGTACCATTCAATTTCGTTTCACTTTCCATTGACTGAGTGACGCAAGTCCTCACCTTTACGAATTTTCATTTCGTTTTATGACGTCAGTGTTTACATAGTAACATAAAATGTAGACAGTTATCAATTAAGCTACTGTAGGTATGCAGTGTTTACCTCAGCCGTTGATCTGTGTATTGTCACTGTGTTTACCTGCATCGTCATAGTTGTTTACAAATTCGTGACGTCAGTCATCCTCTATTGTAAGTTTGTGACATTTAAAGGGCCACTGAAAACGGAAATAATGATATCATGAATAAGCATGAGCGGCTTTGGACAGATATCTCCTGACGTAAGTGCAGTACTCGGTACACCTTTGTCATCGGTACGCACTACACACCCATTTATAAACTTACGGCTTGATAATTGAACCTTTGTTGATAATTCACTGTTACTCTTGTAAAATATGAATATTTACATATTAGTTACTTTTCAGCTACCAGTTGTTTTATTTATGTAATGGAAGTCATGTCTCATTTTACTTTGAGCATAAACAATATGTAACTCGTTTAGTTGAATCGTGGTGAATACCAAAGTTGTAGCAGCTGGTAGTTAGACAGAACAACATTGTCATTTGAGAAAACACAGTAGCTGCTGGACTACTAATTACTCAAGTATTTGAGTTTAAACAGTATTTTTTTTTATACAATGCAAGTTCAACAAAATATGGAGAGTAATTTGGGAAAAAAGATCTTATTAAATACAAAAATTCATAGCGACTCAACAGTACTTCTGAAAGTGTAGGAAATTTATTATATGAACTTTTATCAATCACTGGCTGAGTGGAACTATTACTCTGCCTGGAGGCAACTTGGGTCTTCCTAGATACTGGAATATACCGAAATGTGTAGAACACATCAGATAATACTACACTTTACGGTTTTATTATGCTGTTTCTTGCCGTACAGGTGCCACAACACTACTGAGGACACCAACCTAACCTAACCTGCCCTAAAATCGTTTGGTTCGATAAGTTAGGTGTATGCCTGTACATTTCTGGATCTCCTCGGTATTCCGGCGAATTCAGCATATTCCGGTATTGAAGGAGGCAAACAGTGTGCTGTTTCCTACACAGAATGTTGTAATACACTATTGGTCCCAGATTCTCAAGATTCATGCATTAATGTTTCCCCTTACAAAGCCGGAAGGAACAATTATTTTACATTAGAATGTTATTGCAATTTCAAAGCCATTTTGGCCAACATTTTTAGCCATAGTTTATAAGAGATCTTAAGTCCCCAGACAGAAGACAACTTTAATGTATTAATAATTTAGAAACTCGGACACTGAAACTCTCCAGAAGCTGAGGGTGACAGAGTTGTGTTCTGTGAGTCAGCCTAAGTTGTCACTCTTCACTGGCGACTGAAATTAATGTAATGGAATACAAAACTTGGCAGTTATATTCACCACAAATAATAAGATCTGTAATATTATCCTCACCTCCACTTACAGCCAGCTTCTGCACCAACTCTTACCACCTGTCAACTCAACCTCCCACTCCTGTACTCACACAGTTGCGAATAAGTTACCCTCTATGTATCGAACTAAACAAAGAATTTATTTGAAATACTCTGTAACATTCAATGTCATAATATTCTGACCACGGGGGTTAGTTTTTCTGACCCTTTGCAAACTCTACTCTGTAATTCCTTTGCGCTACAACTCACAGGATGAGTTTGGGGTGCACAATAAACTAGCCGCTGTAAGTGGCAAAATTAAATTTAAAAAATAATTCCTCCACATACCCCATCAACACACTCCACCAACCACACTCATTCACCTACACCACCCACACCAGGCCTCCCGCTTACTCGACCATCGTGCCCAGCCCCTACCCCCATATCAGGACAATGATCTCCGCTTCACTTTACAGCAATACACTCATCTTATATTACGTCACCAGGCTATACGTTGTTCTTAAAGGCTCTATGACATTTTACAAATAAAATTAACAAATGTTTGTGTTTTACTTCCTCCTCTCTGCTGTTATTCCATACATCAACAGTAAGGTCTCTTGAACACAACGATTACCAGACCCCACCAGATTGTGTTAGCAATACATGTATGATAATTATTGTTGGGTTGTATTTGGCAGCACTGGTCCTTGGAAGACTCCTGCCACGGGGTTTACAAGTACGTCCTGAGATGTGTGCGTGCGTGCGTGCGTGCTGGTTAGGGCACACCTCTGTATAACCTACAGATATATATTTTAGTGGTGTTCAGAATATTCCTCTTGGTTCATGACATTAAAACGTGAGGCAGCAGTGTAATGACGTTACAAGTGCGAGTTTCCTCATGTCGGTGCATTTGGGGTGATCTCTGCCGCCTCTGATCACTTACCTTATTGGGAACTTTGATATTTAGTCGCTTAGCTGCTGGAGATAGTGGTATGTCTTGTCTTCCTGGATATTCCTTAACATCAGGTCACACAGGTCGCTCATCAGGTTCAGGCTGTTGTGTTAATGGCAGCTCCTACTACCTTAAAAGCCAACTTGCCTACTTGACCTTAGGGCTGGCCATATATATATATAACGGATAGCTACGTCTATATGCTCTAGTCTATGTATATATGTACTTCTTGTTAATTAATGTTTGTCAGTTTGTACTTGAGTGTATAGGGACCGAATTGCTTTGTTTGAAATGTTGGGTAGTTATCGCTCGCCAGTAAGTGTTGGTTGCTATAATGATAATATTTATTCGGTAAAGTCGTCATGCAGGTTTACAATTGAATAGGCATGTATATTGTAAACTATGCAGCTGTACAGTTCAACATGAATATAGACAGTGTAGATAAACGGTGAAGGTAGGCCGTGGGAGTATCCTGTGTGCCGAAACATTGCAGATAAACAACAATGCTGCTGCAGCGTAAGTAGCAAGGCAATTTATCCAAGGATGCTTATTTCCGGGAGGGCTCTTTGCATAGGCTTACGCTTGGCCTTCTTAAAGACGATACGTAAAATCTTTCATTGAAAGGAAACTTCAATTTTACGCTCGATACAAACCATAGAAAACAAATCTCTCGTGATAATTATAGAAAACGTATCATCATAATGTTGGGGACTATTTTACCTCTGGAGCAAACATTGCGCAGCTTTACTTGGATATAATTATATTACTTGGCTTTATCCTCTTCACCACTGATTGATTTGTTAGCCGTTTGGTTGGTACTAGCCCGCACGCATATTTATATTTATATTTGGTTAAATTCAATAGTAAAAAACTCAGCATCTACCAATTACACTTTCTAAATTAAACGATTTCCCACCAATTACATTTCAGGACGCTATCATTCTGCCAAATTATAAAGTAGATATACTAGACCTCACCATTTCCTCTAATATGTCATGGAAGCCACATATCCTCAACATTGATAAAGCTGCCTCCCAAATGTTGGGAATGCTGTACAGATGCCGTAGCTACTTCACTCCTGAGCAGTTGCTTCAGGTATGTAAAGGATTCATTCGTCCCAACTTGGAGTACTGCTCTCATATCTGGGGTGGCTCTTATTCTGCCCAACTGTTAGATAGTTGACAATCTTTCTTCCCTTTCTCTTCTCCGCAATGTTGCTTCACTCTCTCTCTTTTACAGGTACTTTAACGGGCATGTTCGGTGGATTTAGCATCCTGTGTACCGCCGGCAAGGCAGTTGGCTAGTAACACACGGTTCCCCACCGTTTTTCTGTGGATGTCGGTCACACCAGAATAACCCGTTAGAGTGCATCCTTCTTTCCTCACAGCCAAACTGTGGAATGCTCTGCCTTCTTCTGTGTTTTCATATTCATACAATCTGTCTCACTTTAAAAAGCTGGCTTTCCAGCATCTTCGTGGTGTAGATTAATATAACTCTTTTCTGTTTTCCTTTTATTTTCTTTCTATTCTTTTTTTTTTCGCCCCCTAGGCCCCATTGTGGGTAGTTTGACCTGTGCCTGGGTGGGCTAATTCCCGTAAAAAAAAAAAAATTCTTCACACACAGGATGGTAGATATATGGAACAAACTACCAGTTCAAGCGGTTCCCCACTCACGATATATCAATGGTTTACTGTACTGTATAGTTACTATAGTACATATACTTTTATTCATTACTTTTACCAGTTAAATTGAAAATTATTGATTTTCACTCATTCTTTACTCACTTAATTCATTAAAACATTTAACTTTACTCAGTTATAGAAAGACGGCAATAAACACATCCTTACACAACATAATGGGAATTCAGTTGTACAACAGACAAGAATTAAGAGCTTTTCAAACCTGATTCTTCATTTCTGTTTTGGGATCAATTAGCTGAACCACCATTACATTACTGAGCCTTCCAGTGGCCATGATTATACAAGTAGCATTTTTGTGTGTACATATTCACAGTATATACTATATTGTACTGTAATTGCATCAGAGCTTCTATTTTGACGAGCAGGGCTTCACTGTTCCTCAACCTATACATGGTCACAGGAAAATGGAAAATAAGAGATAACATATAATTAATAACTTTATATTAAAATGGTTGTAAATATATACAGGCAGATACTGCACAGAGCGTAGCTTGTGTGGCCACACTACATCAGGTGGCCTTGGTAACTAACACCACTTTGTATATACAGTATTGCTTCTTTTAGGTAGTGTATCGATCATTATCTGTCTCCAAACTCCAGCCATTTTAAACAGACACACGGACAAATTCTATAACACCTGGAGAACACCACACACACACACACGCACACACACACCCGGAGACTGCCTCTTCTAATCTTCAAAATGTTTTCCCTTACTTTATTCAACCCTTCGTATTATCGTCAGTTGGACAAGACTCACCTTGGCCAATGGTGCAAGTTGCTTCATCCAAATCTCACCCACTTGTCACAACAACAGCTGCATTATCCAAAGTTGGATTTTAACTTTATTTGTTTTGATACACCTGCAGAAACAACAACATCCATATGCTTATGTTTGAGAAGAGCCTTGTTTAGCAGTACAACCTGCAGCACTGGCCAGCGAGAGGGTTTATATTACCGTATTTGTATATTTTAGATCTAATAACAAATTTGGGAAATCCCCAAATTGGGTTCGTTTACAGTCATAAAGCTTGCCAAATAATTGATACACTACCTGTACTGTACATATTACTTGTAAGATATACAGTACAACGTTTGCCTTAACACCAAGAGTAAGATTTCCTGTACTTTTTTTTTAATTTTTGTATTGATACCAACTATTAAATTTATTACAAAATAGAGAAATGACATTTAATGAGAAGGATGATGTGTAATGTGTTGTGGATATGAGAAATAAAGATGAATCACTGAATAGATTACTGGATAAACAACGGTACAGTATATGTATGGGAAATAGATGCAGCTATTTCTTATGAAGTTTCTACACATTGTATCTTATAATAATGTAAACACCTGACATACAACGGAGGAATACACTGTAGAGTTTCTTGTGGAAGATTATTTAAAGACGTAACTAATAAATATGATATGAACACATTTCCAAGACAGTACAGTAATTATTGATATGAGTTTCATGATTAGCTTTCACTTTCAGCTAAAATTTACTTAACATTCATTTTTTTTTTTTATTTACCCTGGTATGACGCCATGTAAACAAAGATAATTAATGATAAAGTTTTAAAATAAGAACTCTTATAAAATGTTGAGAAAATAGGCACTGATTATGGGTCACATTTCATAAAAAAAAATTATTTATATTTTTCCTACATTAACTGTCAAGCTCTATATCCATTTAGAGCCTGGTGTTATTATTATTTATAAACTGCACTAAACGTGTTAATACTCATGACCACAAATTCTCTAAAAAGAATAATAAAATCCTCTTTCCAACATTTTCAAGACTTTACAATCTTCTTAAAAATGGTGATGAACAGAGAGAACGCCACAGACGACAAACATCTAAGGAATTATGTAGTGTGACACCTGATTGACAGGAGGACATGATGAACCAGAACTAGGTACAGTACAGTACAGCTCAGGGAGACGTGGGGTGTTTAGCGGTTCTTACAGTATAATAAACCTCGTACAGTGAGAATTTAGTATGTACTTGTACTATAATAAGACTTATTCCTTTCCTTTGATTACCAGAGTATTTAAGATAATATGATCTTGTTTTATAAGAAAATTATCAGAGACAAAAATACATTATACAATGAAAGGTTTCTTTTCTCAGGGAACAATTATAATTACTCTCCAACACAATTCTTGGGAAAATAACATCTGGCTTTTGGTAATTCAATTTGACAATAGCTAATACTGTACCCAAAGAAAGTGTAAATAAAAGGAAATCTTATTTCAAGCGATAAAACTGAATATAGTCAGATAATTACCTGGTAGCATCTCGGAGACTATGACACAGACACATACAGTACAGATGACGACAAGTAACAGTCCTGAACAATACTCTACAAGTTTGTGTTATTTGTACTTTCATCTCAGTGTACACTCAATATTGTGTCTTCATACATATTTCATATTCAACTATTTTTTATTATTTTTTTTAAACAGAAAATAGTACGGTACCTCTTTATATACTATTTATCTCCTTAAACCCTTCACTATGGGGACACCACTTCTAACATTGTACTTGGCTAACTCCTGATGATTTTATTCAGCTCAGAGGCAACCCGTACACTAGGGGTTGAGAGAGCTGTGATCACAACTTAAGTGACCCAGTACTGTATTATGGAATCATTGAGGATGACTGCTACAGTAATAGTTTTCATCGGTGTTGCCTTAATTTTGTATTCTTAACTGACATCATCTACTATTGATAATTTATACTAATAGTTTTACCACCAACACTGAGACATTTTTTTTTCTCATTTTTTTCACAGTGCAAAAATAGAACGGATTTTCCTGGGTGTAATACAAGTGATGTTGCGTTTAGTTATTGTTTTCTAAAATCAGTTTTCATATCAGTTTTAATCTCATCTGCACACATCGTCTGTTTGATTATTTTTCTAATATTTTGTCACAATATTAACTTTATTTTTTTCTTTCCATCACATAAAGAGTTGTAAGACATGAGATAATCAGTGGTAATAACTCATCGTCACAACAAGCAACAACCCACACCGTGCACCAGCCGCCCAACAACCTTGGTTGTTCTGACACAAAATTTGCCTCAGAACAATCGCCTCGGCTGGTGACGATGTTGTGTAAGGATAACATGGTTGAATGTGCAACAGTGAGCACTACCCACCACTGCCACCACCGGATTTATCCCAGCTACTGAATGTTATTTCATAGTTTACAGGTCTCCATTATTGAGGTTACTCAGTTTATTTGGTCATTTTTCCTGACATCTCACTTTTCTCTTAATTTCCAAGTACTGTATCACTGTCCTTAGAATATTTTTTTTTCTGAGATTAAAGAAAAATACCAGTATGACAAAAGTTACAGTCCTGGCCACCTGCACTCTTCTTGCCCCAAGAAATATAGATTGTATCAACATCCTTGACTCCTTGTTTCCACCACATACGATGCAGACATCATTATTTTTAGTGCAGTACACAACCAATTATTTTTTTAAAGAAATTAAATAATAAGTTCAAAAATGCTAAATCCTCTTCCTTGTCCAAGTACAGTATGAAGCTTTGAGTTAAATAATTCTGTAGTTTCTGGGTTTTTTTTCTTAATTACTGTTTTACACTGTTTCCAAGTCTCTTTTTCATCATGTCCTTTTGCCCAAAAGATATCCAAGATCTTCATTCTTGTCATGCTTTGCTTGCCTTGGTGAGAAGAACCTCACAAGACGATAGAAGTCCCCCCCCCCCGCAACATCCAACAAGATGAAGTGATAATTCAGGCAGACAGCACCTTCAGGCGGGAAACAAGCAGCAGTTGCAGGTAAGCGCTCTGCAGGGGACGGTTCCGGGACAAATGCAGCAGCGCCTCCTCCAGGGAGAACCACTCACGCCGTCGACCTGGAAGACAATACCGTACAAAATTTATAATTTTACACAGAACAATATGTTACTAAGTACAGTAGCAGGGTAAGTATTGCTTACCTATAAAATTACCATTAGAAATATTGTCTTGGAAGACAATTATGTTCTCAAATAAACTTATTTTTATTTCTAGTTCGTAAAAAAAAAAAGTGTGTGTTATCGTTAACCCCATCACACACACACACAAACACAGATGCACCTATACACATCTCTTGTCTTCTTTCCACCCACCTTCCTCCTCCCTTCCTTTGCCGCCTGATGTAGTTAACACTCACCAAGATGGGACTCCGGGTACTGGGGAAGCACCTGCTTCACCGTCACCACAAACACTGCTGTCCTGTGTCGCTTCCTCCCAGTGTGGTGCTGCGTCTGTGGGTCACAACACTTGCTTACTAAAGGTTCATGTTGATGCTATTAAATAAATGAATAACATGACAGAATAATTATGATGCTCTTCCAAGATTAAACCATATATTTGCGGGAGTCTTTGCATGGATACAATGATTGTAATAATATTTTTTTTTGTTTATTGGTGATAGATTGAATGATATAAAGGTTGTATGGCAATTTTTTGTAGATAAAACATCCTTGTATTACCTATACTTCGTTTACTTATTTTAGCCATAACCTGCCTCACAATTCCCTTCCTCTTATATCATCCTTCCTCATCTTCCCTTTATCTTTTACCCTCTTTTCACTACCTTCTCTCAACCCCCTCCCTTCTTCCTGTATGTCTTTTCTCCCTACTTATCTACCTCCTATTCACCCCCATACTCTTATACTCTCACCCTTTCCTTAATTTCCTCCCCCTCACCCTATCTTACTAACTCACCTTCCTTAACAACTCTCAAGGGTCGAAGGCAAGCATATAAAAAATACACTTTATTTCCATTAGGTTTTTCCTCTCCAATTGCCTCATCTTAACTTCCTTGATCCTGTAAACCTTCTTTTCTCCCCCTTGCCATTTCTCATCATATTCAACGCCTCACTTCACTCACTTTAACCTCCTCTGCCTCGACACACCCACCTTACACCACCTGACAAAATGCACAAGATCCCAGAGCTTCACCTTGAGAGAGGACATACCATACGAGATGACATAACTCTCATGCTAAATAAAAATGCTAAGGAGTTGGGGTACATGTAATGTATAGGGTCTGACACTTTATAATAGAATAGCAACACAAATTATAAAAAAAAGAATGTTTATTTGATTTTCTTTAATTGAAGTATTGTTTAATGTCCCCCCCCCCTCCTCCTCCTCCTCCTCATTGCTCCTGTTAGATTTGTGTTCCATTGACCAGTGTTTGTACAGGAGGAAACGAAATATTCATAGAAAACCTACAATGTTTGGTAAGATCAGTAAGCATTATGTATTACAGTCTTTGAAGTGTTCTCCCTAACATCTCATCAGTGAATCAGTTTTGTTACCAAGTATAATATTAGTTGTCTTTACAGTTAGTATACAATGGATAACATCTGACTGGTTAGAGTTTCTCATTAGAATGCCACCAGAATTTATCCTTGGCCCACATCTACACCAAACATAATTCATACTGTACACAACAGTAGTATACTGTGCCACACAGTCAAGTTGACAGATGATACAAATACTTACGGGCAAAGAGCATATTAGGAAAAACTTTTTTAAGTATTTGCAAATAAATAAACACCTTTTAAAATAGTAAAGTGTATGACTCTTTGTGAGGGCCACAACAATCCAAACTAAATACCGTAGATAATACTTTTCTGTCAACTGTAGGTGTTGTGACAGACCAATCACTGAAGGCAACACAAGAGCGAGAGTGAAGAGAACCAATCAATAAAGAGTTATACCTTAAAGTTGAACAAAGGCTTAACAGCAGACCACACATAAAAATTATAAACTTACTGATGTTATAAATAATGTAATGAAGGGATATTATTATTTTTATTGGGGTTCCTAGAGAGAGAGAGAGAGAGAGAGAGAGAGAGAGAGAGAGAGAGAGAGAGAGAGAGAGAGAGAGAGAGGCAACTCACCTCAAATAGTCCCAGATATCTGGTGATGTGACCTCGAACACCCGCCTCCTCCCATGCCTCCCTCACAGCCGCTGTTGACGTGTCCTCCCCATCCTCCACGCCTCCTCCAGGCACCAGCCACAAGCCCGGGTCCTTCTTACTTGACACTAGAAGTACCTGACAAGAGAAAAATACAGAAGTAAATTTCTTCAAATTCTAATATGTTATTCATAAGAAAGTTTAGGAATGGAAGAATATGTACAGCAGCTTGGAAAAAATAAATTACATGCTGAGTTCATTGGGCTTGCAGAAACCTTTGATACCACTGGGTGAACAGGGAGGCCCCTATGGGAGTTGATGACCTTGTATGGGATACAGGGAAGTTTGCTGAAGGCTGTCCACAGTTTTTTTATGGTGGAAGTTGCTTATACTGTGTGTGGTAACAGCGCACGTATCTGTTAGTGGGATGAACTAACGGACTGTATTAGGGCCTTAAGGGGTGTGTGATGTCATCTTGGTTATTCACTGTTACTGTAAAAGTTAAAATAGGAACATCTCAGTGAACTGTAAACAATGACAGGGGTGACTGGTTGTTGCCGTTAAGGGGGTCTGTAACAATTACCTCATATTGTACTTATAGTATATCGTCAAAATTATACTTTTTTTTTTAAGATTGGTAGGAATGTTACCGAGGCGGAGCTTAAGATAGATTGCAGGTCCGCCCACTGCAGGAAAACCCAAACATCTTTTTTCAGTGTGTAACTGCGCATCTCCCCACTAGCGCGGGTGTGGATGTTCGGTAAACGTACTGATATTGTATAGTCAAAATTGTACTAATACTGTATGGTCCAAAAAGTAATGATCTCCACAGGTGTTTTATAAGACCTGATAGTAAACTGCAAAAAGTGGCAGAGAGGATGAGCAAAACTTACCTACAGGCTCACAGCAAGTGCGCCACTGCCTCACACTAGCAAATTAAAAAAAAAATCACTGAACTAATCAAATATACTGAATTGAATTGAAACATTTTATTTAGCCAGAAAAATACAGATACAGAGTGGATAATAATAACAATATTAACATGGCTGAGCCAGTTGAGAACCTGAGCTCTCTTTGAGGCACCTGATATATACTATACATTTATCTCAAGGAAGTATTATGTAACATTTAGTATCATCTGGAATAGTACAATAGCATGGTGGTAATAAGAACATCTCATAATGTTACCAAGGTTATCACTTCAATATTTATTTATTTTATTATTTATTATTTTTAATTTTGTTCTTATTTTTTATTTATACATACATACACACACACACACTAATATATATATATATATATATATATTACAGTGGAATTGAAAAACATAAGTATTGTAACCAGCATTCTTTGTTCTCTAACGACCATCTGCATCGTTAAACGACCCATCGGCGGGTCGCGTGGCGGGAGCCGACCTTATATATAGGACCCACCAACTGACTTGAGTCAGTTCAGTCTTCTTGTCATACAGTCCACAACCTTTGAGTAACACTTGTTACTTGATTTAATTTATTTGTGTTGTTCCTGTCGCCACCAATGTGGTATATCTATGTGAGTACCTATTTATGTCTCTGTTTGTGTCCATCAGTATTTGCTTAGTTGTATTCAAGTAATTCAGTGTTGTTTTACGTTAGTTAATTTCAGTGATAGTTTTTATATGTTTATGCTTTATTTTTATTCTTTCGATGTTTTGTATCATTTGTGTCTTAAAAGTTTCGATGGTGAATCAATTTGTTGTGACAGCCTACGAGGCTCTTTATTGTGTTAATATTTAATCAATTAAATTCTTAAAGGTTTACTTTATTTATTTTTATTCTCTTTTAATTTACTTCACTTTTTGTTTGGTTACGCCTAGAACCTGGATATTTAAGTAAATTAAGAGACGGCGTAACAAAATATAGTAAGTGTTACAAGAAATATTAATACTTCGACAATAGATATTTTTTTAGAGATGATTTAAAGGAAGGGAGCGTAGTCCTTGCTCGGATGTGTGGGGTAAGTTGTTCCACACCTTCACACCATGATATTTGATGGAGGTCTGGGACTGAGAGGAGTACATGGGGGGTGGTCTTAGTAGCTCTGGGTGCCTTAGGTTGTATCTCTGATTATTCCGGAACTGGAAATAATTATTGTCAAGCAAGTGATTGACAGATTTGTAAACAAAGAGGGCACAGCAGTAGGTGTTAATATCCTCTAATTTAAAAAAAAAGTTCAATAAAGCAAATTTTTCTTTTGTGTGATCTGCTTTTTTCAAGTAGGTCATTGTCCGTACAACTCTCTTTTGTGCAGTAACCAGAGATTGTGTTTTTGAAGAGCCAGAGGCCCCCCATAGTGTGTGACAGTGTGTCAGGTGTTGGTAAACAAGATCATGATAGATTTCTTTCATTGCTGTGAGAGTGAGTGACTGTTGAGTGTGATACATGAATGGCTTGCATGTGGTTTCTCCAGTTAAGTTTCTCATCAACAATAACTCCGAGGAATTTAGTATTTTGTTCGCGTTTGAGGACTATATTACCAAGGTACAGGGGGTTCAAGTCTGGAGGTAAGTTTTTCTTCTGTGAAAGATCGTGTAGTGGGTTTTCTCAAGGTTTAAGGTCCGTTTATTACGTATTACCCAGGTCCCGATTTTGCATCGGTGACACACTTTAGTCTTATGTTCATTATCTTTACAAAATAAAAGGAGAAAAAACTGAGTGTCGTGCTAACCTTAAAAAATATTGTCTCGTATTGGCCGTCATATTATGTTATTAACATTGTCTCTCGCCCGTGGTTAGGTTAAGTTAGGTTAGGTTTTATTAATTATGTAGTTATCGGTCCTCGCGGGATTTTCATTTTACGGATTTGCCCCACGCAGCGCGGAGGCTAGTTTATTGAACACCCCATTACATCCCGTGCGAAGCATTGCAGCGCCCAAATGGGAAGCATCATACAAGCATGCAGAGTTCATGCTTGCCTTTTTTTTTTTACATATTTAGAGGCCGGGGGGGGGGGCATTGGTTGTGTTAACAAGTTACATATAGTGGAGGCAGAATGAGTGTACACAGGAAGATTACCTGAACAGTTCATCAGTTTATGGCAAAGCGTGGCAGGTCCTTCAGAATGTCAGGTGCCAGGCCTGCCTTTAGGAGGAGGGATATTTGGTCAGGGAGAGATGATGTGATGGTGATGACTAGGAGCAGAGGGGGGGGGGGGGCAACTTGATGAGTCGTGAACCCAACTCTTGTGTCGCCCGTATACTGTTAGCCGGGGAAAGTCGACCGTATGAATCCAAACGATTAGCTTCAGTAACATTTGAATTATGTGACTCTTAGGTAGTTGTTTGACAGAGAAAATGCAAATGAGACAATAGGAATGAAAGGGCTGTAGAGCATGGAAAATCACTGACTTCTACAACAAGACTGTTATCAAGAATATGGTTAGTTGGTTACTTTAGTCAACGAAACGTTAGCCTGCATCCTCCCAACATACATGAGCCAGCACAGGCTCACACAAGGCGGCACCACCCTCGACTTTTCTTGTCTTCCTGCACTGTATATCTTTGTTTCGCAAGTGATAACTGATTCGCACGTACCATTATCTTCCTCTTCCTGGTTCCCGGTACTTCCTACCTTGTTTCTACGTGATTTTATGCTTCTTTCGGTTATGTAAGACTATAAGATGCGCCTCTTGCGGAGATTTGTCCAGTTCTTTTTTTCTTAAACCACTGGTAAGTGAATATCCAAATAATATTATTAACTACACCATTTTTGTCCGAATATATGTATTTGTACTTGGGATAAATGTGTCGATAGTTAGAATTTTTTGCGGGACTTTTGTAATCAAACTACAGTATATATTGTTGTAGAATCTAGATCACGCCAAGATAATTACTACTACACATTACATCCGGGTCAGGCTTAATGTATTGCTTCAGTAACAAGCTACATACCCGTATAAATCTAAGTGTGTATTTGTATATTAACAAAAGAACGTGAATTACCAGTATGAAAACCAACCCAAATTATATAACATCTATAATTGTTCCTTTCATAATAATACAGAATCAGTACAGTGTGTAGACAATAACGACTACCGTGGTTTTCTGAGTTAGGAATTCAATAAATAAGTAAATAAATAAGTAGTGAGAAAGTATAATTAACTATTCAGATCTGCCACTCTACCATTAGTCTCAAGAGATGATTATAACAGTAATAAGTCTTCAAGTACACAACACTAACTTTTTACATCAAACAATGCGTCAGTAACGCCATCCTAAAAGTCACCCGCTCACTTTATAAGGACTACAACTATATTTTGTATGAGTTTACATCATTTTGAGGCAGCAAAGGGTATTACCCGTTTGTGATGAATGTTTCAAGGTTTATAAAATCATTAAGATGTTATCAGTCACATTCACACATAAAGGTCACTTGTCTAACTGTGGTAACGTTAAACACGTCACTTGGCCCCCCACCAATGTTGGACAACGTTCACACATATCACTCTCATCACATCTGGGTCAAGTTTTATCGGAGATGCCAGATAGAAAATAGAGCTATAGTGTACAACTGTGAAAGGTTGTCATGATAGTAAACGTGAGACTGATGTGGCCCTTCAATTAAACATGTTAATCGTACAGGATGGCACATTTTATAATTCTCAAAAATATATCGTAATTTCAATGAGCTATGATCTCATTTAAAAGAGAATTGGAATAAGACTGTATCTCAGGCTCCAGAAGATTCTGTGAGTGACGCATATATACACAGGATTTCCTCAGTTCGCAGAATATCTCCCAAACTTAGAAAATGGGTCTACTATACTTAACTTCTCTGAATACCTGGCAACTTTGCCAACTGCAGTTGCCGGATAGACATTTATTTACTCTTTCTCTTTAAATAGCTCGAGCAATGGCCATCACTGGTATGGTACTGTACGTTTATCTTCAACTACAAATAATAAAATTTAGTGTTAAGTACATCAATATGTAGATAATAAGTTGTTAGTAAGTATATCGTGGATCACTGAATCAATTCTGTTCACACTATAGGGTACACAGATCTTGTGTGTTCATGACTTATAGCCCTGACTGGCTAATCACGATGGGGAAAGAAGCATTTGTAAACATATAGCTTATGTAGTTTTGCAATGTAATTCAA